AGACACGTACACCAGTGTATGTCACTTTTACAGCAAAACACTGAAAAACCATGAGCAGCAAATTGTTACTGTGCTCCAAACCAGTAAACGGTGCTGCATCAGCCCTTTGAAAAGTTAAAGGGTCATTTACTACAAATGAGATCCCCTGAACAGAAACAAGAAGCTAATGGGCTTTAACCAACTAACTTCAGGCAACACCAGACCAAAGAAACAACACATCCATTAAGATAAAACCGCTTTTATCGTCATTCACAAGTTAACACAAGCCGTCTCTGCCGCCTTTGGTAAAACAACGTTCCAAGGACAATGACACACACAAGTCCAACTGCAACCACCAAACCAGTCATGAGCACCAACTCCATGGAGAACTCTAGAAAAAAGAAGATGAGAAGTAAGGGCTACGACATGGCTGCTTGACAGAGACCTACACATCTTTGTATCTGCAGTGGCCCCAAAACATATTTGGACTCTTAAGTAACTCTTAATGTGGCCAACACCACTTTTCTGAGCCACTTTTTCAATTATGGTGGTCACAAGGTGATTTTTCACAGATGTAAATCCATGAATAAACTTGCAATAGTTTTGCAGTAGTTCAATATAACATGTTCCAGAAAGTTTGACAAATACAAAGGGCCCAAGACTTGCCTTATTTTTCAAGTAAAACGCATTACCATGAGAATCCAGGGAATGTAAGATTTCAGAAATGAATGCTTTTATTCAGGAAGGATGCATTAAATGGACCAAAACTGACCATAAAGACACTTATGGTTAAAAATGATTTCAATTTAAAAAGAAATGCTGTTCTTCTGATCTTTATATCTAAAAGTTTAATTTCTTTTAACTTGAAGTGCCAACTTAATGCATTTAATAGTCAACATACACTACCGTTCAAAAGTTTGGGGTCTGTAAGATTCGGATTTTTCTGAAAGACGTCAACATGGTCACCTGCATCTTTTGACGACACCCGAGAAGACTTGTGAATTTGCAGTAGAGGCTCATCCCCCACTGACAGCAGTTCATGGACAAAAATCGGCCCAACAGTAGCCTCATCTTCCAATGTGGAATCTAAAAAAAAAAAAAAAACCCCAAAAAATTCAACGTCCACAGCAATAGCTCAAATATATTTGGATGCATGTAAAAGTGGAACTATACCATCAGTATCCAGACTTCTGCCCTTCCTCATGGTGCAGCTTGTCTCACAACAACCACACACTTGATCATCTCCGTTTATAGCAGTCCAGCTGTTAAAAACCACAAACAAACATTATTAAATGTTGAATGGAGACTGCTAAACGTGCTTCCAACATTACCCATACCTGTTGGTTTCTTTAACAAATGAGCAGGCCTTGTTCATCATATCAGTGGGACTGGAAGTGGTAGTAGCCTTCAAATGACAAGTGACGTAGATCTGGCCAGAAAAAATAAATAAAATCAATACGGTAAATTCAGATTAACAGATGTCTGATCTGGATCAAGTGTAAATGGAGCAAACTTTACAATAAAGGCCCAGATATATTCATGGCAAAGTTCTTTTTCGTTCTTCACTTAGGTGTTTTAAGTTCAAAATACCAGAGCAGCATTATTTTGTTAGCGTTAACATCCCGGTTAGATGAATACCTTGAGCGCTTTTAATAAACAACTAAATTACAGTGGTGAGAAAACAGCAATTAAGAAAGCATCTGACTACAGCTATGTGGATGTTTGCTCCAGCGCTGCACTCGAATAATGTTACATTTAGTTCCGAATCACTTTATACAATAGATTGCTCTAAAGCAAACAGTAATATGCATTGTCAGTGATGCTTTTAAAGGGGTCATATGATGCTTTTTTTAAAAGATCATTATTTTTTGTATTTGGTGTAACAATGTGTTGACATGCTTTAATGTTAAAAAAAAACATTATTTTTCAAACTCCACTTTGATGTGACGCACGCTCTCTCACACACGATGCGAAAAACTATTGAACAGTCAATAGCAAATACTTAAACTAATATCAAAACAGTAG